TAATATTCTATTTGTGTGGAAGAAGGGAAGAGTGGACACCGAAGGACAGTGGTCATCCCTGAATCAGCTTGTGAGGCCATGATGCTGAAAGTATAAAAGTACAGTGATAAGGCCACTGGCCCAGAGACCTCAACAAGGTTGGAGAAGGACCAGAGTGGGTATGCTCAAGGACTTGTGCTGGAATGGGGAGGTGTAGTCAAGAGGCGGGGTGCTTGCATCAAGGCTTCGAGGAGGAGCAGTTGCTGATGATGGCCAGTCTGGGGTAAGACTGTGAGGGTGAGTGGCTGCGGGGGACCCCAGGGCAGGAGCACAGTTCGGGAGAGGCCAACGGACTGTGAGGCCAGGGTGACCAAGGGTCATCCACATGAATGCTGGAATTTCAGAGAGGGAGGACAATGTTCATGGTGGACAGAAAGCCTTGTGCCCGGGGGTCACCCACAAGAGGAGTGACCAGGATGGGGAGCAGCAGGCGGGAGCAGGTGGCCTGGCAGACAACATGCATATCAAAAGAGCTGAGGTTTGCGTGAGGAAGAGAAATCACAGGGAGCAGCAAGAAGAGGCAAGAGGACAGGGTCCTGGGGGAGAGCTGGGCTCCCATTCTCGATGTGGAGGAGGATGTCAGAGGAGAAAGTTGGGGTGAGGGTTGCTTGAGAGAAGTGGAAGACAGGGCCAGAGGAGGGGACATAGAATGAGCAGAGAACCACCCAAAAGGGGAGAAGTCCACAGATATGCAGAAGGCAGTTGGCCAACTTAGCAGCTGATGGGATATGGCAGTGGGGGAGAGAGGCCATCCCTAATGGTGCCCCAGGTTTCCAGCTGGGTGACTGGGTGGATGCAGCTGGCCCTCCCTAAGGTGGAGAACACTGAGGAGGGCTGGCTTTTGGGGGAAAGACACCCAGGTTTAGGTCATGGTGGGTATGAGCCTCCTGTAGGACACTCAGAGGGGATGTCCAGGAAGGACAGGATGCCCAGGTCTGGGCTGGCATTGGAGATGGGTGGGCAAGCGGGTGCAGCTGGACTGGAGGCCAAGAGAGAACATACATGACTGAGATAGGACTTGTTGCCCGCAGGAAGTATCCACTGTATCTGGGTTAGTTGTGAACTGAAGGGGCTGAGGGGAGTGGGCAGGGAGCATGCTGTGGTGTTCAAAACATGCACACACGCGTGCACACACACAAGATTTTTCCAGAATAAAGGAGATCATAAGCATGTTTACAGACTGAGAGGAAGGAGGGGGCCCAGACAGAGTGGGTCTCCACATATAGGGAGTGGGAGGTGACCTAGTAAGTAGCCTGAAGGGGCAGGAGAGGAGATTGTCTCAGTTTCTCCACAGGGACAATGGTGTAGGATACTGGGTCAGCCAACTTGGGCAGCCCTGGAAGGAGGAGCCTCCCCACCTCAGGAAGCCCAAAGAGCTGCCCCTCTCCCACCCTCCGTCCCCACAAAGGCCTGTCTGACTGAGATAAGGAGAGCAAGGCATGCTCTTTATGGCCAGAGATTCCTTAAATAAAAGCTGCCACGGGGCGCCTGGGTGGCTCAGTCGTTAAGCGTCTGCGTTCGGCTCAGGTCATGATCCCGGGGTCCTGGGATCGAGCCCCGCATCGGGCTCCCTGGTCAGCGGGAAGCCCGCTTCTCCCTCTCCCACTCCCCCTGCTTGTGTTCCCTCTCTCGCTGTGTCTCTCTCTGTCAAAATAAATAAATAAAATCTTTAAAAAAAAAAAAAGCTGCCACATCCATACAATGGAACCATGGCAAACATGGGTGGTATATGTGGGTGTATTCACAGGTGGAAAAAAGAGGTTCCAGAAGAGCGTGGGCCCCAAGTGACCTGATTTGGGGTAAGAAAAAAAAATACACACAGGAAAAAAATAAAAGGCAGTCTTGCTTGATACTGGAATTGAAGGAAAATTTTATTGTCTTCTTCCTGCTCATCTGAACATTCAATATTTCCACAACAAAAATGAGTTCTCATATGTGCTGTTTTTTGTTTGTTTGGGTTTTTTTTTTTAAGTTGTACATGCTAAAAATAAAAGGGATATCTCAGAGGTCCAAAAGGAAGAGTGTGTGCCCAACTAGGTCAGATCAGGTCAGGAAACAGCCTGGGGGCTGGGGGACCGCCACTCACCGGGACTCCTTCCCCACCTGCCGTAATGGCATGAAGGCAGATGAAGATGGGACAAGGCCAGGCGTCCACAAGTGGGAGAAGGGAAGGTCCATGGAGGCTGAGGTTCCTGGTCTGGGATCCAGGTTCCGATGAGAGTGTTCACCAAGTACCTGCCAGGTGACCCCAACTGGAGCAAGCTGTCTTCACAGCAGGCATGACTCCAGGGGACCAAATGATACCTTCCCTCCCCACCCTGCTCTGGGCCAGGGATCAGAAGGTTGCGGAGGCTGGCCCTTTGGGCACACCGGGTAGCCTCCCTGGGCTTCACCGGAAAGTGAATGCGCAGCTCCTTCCCAGAGAGCAGAGCTGGGCCGAGCGGAGGGCGAGAACACAAGCACCCTCTGGGCCTGGCAGGAGAGATCCCGGCCTCCCGGCCACAGGAGAGGACAGAGGCTGGCCTGAGAGGGGCTCACGATAAGAAATAAGGAGGCCCACATTCGCAAGTCATCCTGAGCAAGGATAGTTTGTTGTTATCATCACAGTTTGTTTTACCAAAATGGGATATTACTTTACTCTCTCGTGCATTTCACTCTTGTCGCTCAACAACACAACGGATATTCCTCCAACACAATTCATGCAGTTTTATTTCATTTAACATAATGTCCGTATAATACCCTGTGGTGTGCAGGCCCCAGTAACTATTCCTTTTGTTTCCAGCTTCTTGCTTTGCCATTAGCAACGCTGCAATACACGTCTTTGGGTACTTACAAGCAAGCCAAACCCAATCCCAGGTGACCTGGGAGCCGCGGGCCCTTGACGGGGCCACGGGGCCACGGGGGCAGGGGAGCCTCCCAGTGAGTCAGTGAGCGACCTGCCAGCATCTGCACAATGAGGGGCCAGGTTAGAAGAGGACCGGGGTCCTCCCTGCTGATGGAATCTTTCCGAGTCAAAGCGTCGACTCCCTTCGGCAATCACCCGGCACAGACCGAGGGAGGACCTGCGAGGTGCGGCCGCTGACTGAGTCCCCATGGCTTGACCACGGACACAGCCCTCGGGGAGCTGCTGTGCTGTCGGGGAAAGCAGATGACAAACATACAGATGAACAGGAGCGTGCCTTGAAGGGGGCTCCGAGTTGCGAGATGCTAAAAAAGTAAAACACCCACCCTCTGTGTACGAGAGGCATTCTCCTACGGGTCTAGGGTAGTGTGTAAATGGGGTGTTTAAAGCACCCCTCAGGGACGCCTGGGTGGCTCAGTCGTTGAGCGCCTGCCTTCGGCTCAGGTCATGATCCCGGGGTCCTGGGATCGAGCCCCGCATCGGGCTCCCTGCTCAGCGGGAAGCCTGCTTCTTCCTTACCCTCTGCCCCTCCCCCTGCTTGTGCTCTCTCCTGCTCTCTCTCTCTCTCATTCTCTCTCTCTCAAATAAATAAAATCTTAAAAAAGAAAAAGCCCCCCCCAGGCCTCTGCTCTTGACTTCACCTGCTGCTGTCACTGTGGGTGTGGTGCCCAGGTGCCCTCCATCCCGGCCAGGGTACCACTTGGCGCTGCTCAAGCATCAGGGGATCCTCAGCCAGCAGCATCGCGGGGGGCCCAGGACCTTCTTGTCAGGTTTGGCGTCCGTGGCTGACACTGGCCATGACCACAGGAATGGCCCAGGGGACCACTTCCTCTCCTCAGCGGCCCCTCACTCTGGGCTCCTCTCCCGGGCCCCTCTATCAAGGGCTCTGTTTACTTCAGTTGCTAGAACTTGTTCCCAAAGCATTGCTATACCCCAGGGGTTCCCCCACTTCAGCAGCCCCCCACACTCTCCACGGGCACAAATTGTGCCATCTCTGCAAGCCCTTTTCTGACTGATTTGGTATTTCATATGAGTGCAATTTTTTATAACTTATTATAAAATGACTACATGAATGTCCTAATTTTATAATATACTTTTGTATAATATTTTACTGTTAGGCTTGATTTTTATTCATGTTTTTTTAATATTAAAAAAATAAACTGAAAATCCATTTCTCTTTTAAAGGGAACTCTTTATCACTAACATAAATGGAAAACTGATGTCATTCCCTTAGGTAAAATTTAGCTATAGAAATAAATATAATGCAAATTAAAAAACGATCTTAGGGGGCCTGGGTGGCTCAGTCGTTAAGAGTCTGCCTTTGGCTCCGGTCATGATCCCAGGGTCCTGGGATCGAGCCCCACATCAGGCTCCCTGCTCAGCGGGAGGCCTGCTTTTCCCTCTTCCCCTGCTTGTGTTCCCTCTCTCGCTATCTTTCTCTCTGTGTCAAATAAATAAATAAAATCTTTAAAAAAAAAATCTTAAATTCTAGCTAGAGACCAACGACTGATGGAGACCAAGCCACAAGCCCTCAGCATCCTGTGAAAGAAAAGGATCAGGAGGTTTAGAAGGTGCTAAAGATGCAGTGACACCGAAAAGTGACTTTCTCCTTGACCTATTCAGAAGAACCACAGAAAATTTAAAACGACGTCGTTCTCCCCCCATAGGATTCTCAGCCCACGGGAGCCGCCCCACCTACACCCTGTGTATGCAAGCAGGACAGGGATGATTGCTTCCATTTTACAGATGAGGAAGCCTCAGACTTGGAGGAACAACCAGCAGAGCCACTCAGCTCCAAGGCCTCCCCTTCCTGGAAGCCTTCCCCACCTCCTGGGACCTGGTGAGGGGCCGCCTTGGTTTTCCCACTGACCCCGTACTGAGGCCCAGCGAGGCACGGGTGGTCCACGGGGATGCACTGTGGGACCCCCTTCTGTAAACAGGGGTTGACCTACCATTCAGGGCCCAAGTCCCTGGGACCAGAGACGGCCCCCCAGGGCTGCACGTGGAGGATAAGCCAGCCTATTTTCATCATTTCCTTCCTCCCACTGAAGCAGCGGCCACCACCGGCTGCCTCGCGGAGAGCTGCCACCTCAGCCTCAAGCAGGACAGTTCGGGCCACAGAAAGGGGTGCCGGCTGCAGGCCTCACAAGTAAGTGGCCCTCTTATTACCCAGCACCACCTCCCACAGCGCACCCCCACCCAGGTGGGACGGCCAGCCCCCGGGCCCACCCCGGCCCACCTTCAGCTTTCCCTCCAGGAGATGGGGTTGGGTGGGGGCATGGCTCTGAGACACTGGCTCCTTGGTTCATTCAACTAATATTCACAACCTGCCATGGGCCCGGCCCTGGTGGGGAGAGCCCGTCTGAGGAAGGGGAAGCAATCGTAGGAAAGTCAGCAAACCAGGCAAGAGCCCGGAGCTCATGAGGCCTGAGTTGGAGTCCGTTCTCTGACACAGACCGCTGGGTGACCCTGCACGAGTCATTCTCTGTCTCCAGGCCTCAATTTCCCCAACTCTGAGTATTGGCCTAGATGCGTGGCTTTCCAGAGGGAACGCCTTCTGGGCTGCCTCCTGGTCCCCACCTCAGCATCCTCATCCTGCTGTTTTCTACATCGAGTATCACCTAAGGGTTCACTGGGCCACAGGCGAGCTGTGGGAATCGATGGGAAGAGGTGTGGTCTGTGAAGTCCACACCATTGGCCTGACCCCAGGCTTGGGCGTGGGGGCTGGGAGCAGCCTGGGGGCCAGGGGCCAGGACTAGGAAGCATCTAGCCGGCATCTGCGCCTCTCCCCCCTGAGAAGGGGCTGGACCTCCTGGCCCCTTCCTAAGAGCGTTCTTACCCTCACTCCCCTCCCCACCCCTCACAGCTACGCTCCCCATCCTGCCTTCTGAGTGTCCAGGCTCAGCTAGGCCTGGGTTGGGCACACTTCACTTCCTGCAGTCTCCACCACCCCATTTCACAGAGGACAAGGCTGAGGCCTGAGAAGGGAGGTGAGTTGTCCTTTGTCCCAGGTCAGTCCCGCCGGCCATCAGCAGGGGGTGCGGACTGCCAGGCCCTCCCTCACCTCACGGCCACTCTCCCCACAGCCAGCCTGCCAATGCCTGCCTGGGGGGCCCTGTTGCTGCTCTGGGCTGCCGCAGAGGCCACCAAGGAGTGCCCCGCAGAGTGCACCTGCCAGGCCCTGGAAACCATGGGGCTGTGGGTGGACTGCCGGGGGCGGGGGCTCAGGGCCCTGCCCGCCCTGCCGGCCCACACCCGCCACCTCCTGCTGGCCAATAACAGCCTTAGCTCCGTGCCCCCTGGCGCCTTCGACCACCTGCCCCAGCTGCAGATCCTCAATGTGACGCAGAACCCCTGGCACTGCGACTGCAGCCTCACCTACCTGCGTCTCTGGCTGGAGGACCGCATGCCCGAGGCCTTGCTGCACGTCCGCTGCGCCAGCCCCGAGCTTGCCACCGCCCGCCCGCTGGGCCAGCTGACGGGCTTCGAGCTGGGCAGCTGCGGCTGGCGGCTCCCGGCGTCCTGGACCTACCCGGGGCTCTGGTGGGATGTGCTGCTGGTTGTCGTGGCCACGCTGGGCCTGGCTCTCCTGGCCGGCCTGCTGTGCACTGCTACAGAGATCCTCAACTGAGCCCAGGCCCCCAGGGTCACCCCTCCCCAGACCCCGCCCGGCCTGGGCAGCCCGAACCACCAGTAACTCAAAATAAACTGGCTGCTCAACCATTTTATCCAAGTTCAGGTTTTTGCTTTTTTTCCTCTCAGCACCCATGTCTGGCTCTTTCTGGAAAACTGGGTCCGTTTTGTTATAACCAGATACCAATTGGGCCTTCTCTGTCCCCCCGGTTCCTAGTAAAATGGGCTGTCCCCCCTCCTCCACACCAGCCTCCCCCAGTCCCACAGTCTGTGGACATCCCGAGCCCCTCCTCCGTGCCTGACAGGTCCCAGGACTCCGGTCCTCACGCTCTCCTCTGTCCTGGCCCCTGCTTCCTGCATGGGCCACGCCGGAGGGCCCAGGCAAATTTCACATGAGCGTTCAGCTGCCCTCCCAATTCCACAGAAAGCGTGCTCTCCCAACACAGCAGTGAGCAGAGCAGGAGACACGGAAGACCCTGCGTGGGTAGGAGAAGAGCCATTCCCGCCTCTCTGACAGACACACCCTGAGAGGCACATCACCGTTTCCAAAACGGCCTTTGGCCACGAAGACACCTGCTCACCTGGCCCCATCCTTTCTCATCTTCTCTTATAAGCTCTCTCTCCTTTTCCTCCTCTCTAGCCCTCTTCAGAAACAAAACAACAAATTCTTCCCTTTCTCATGGAAACAACTCCAGGTGCTGACATCAGACACCTGCAAACTGGAGTCCCACTTCCACCCCCAGCAAGGGCCACCAAATTCTTCAAACAAGACACTTCTCTCCCTCAGAGGAATTCTGGTGCCAGCTGTTAAACTAATAAACTTTCCTCCACAGCATGAGAGAATACTTCCAGGTCTGTTCCTGGCCACCCCAAATCCAGATAGAATTACACTGAGGTCCTTCCCTTGAGGAGGTCCGTGCGGTGGACCTGTGGCTCGGAGGGTGCCACAGGGAAGGCCGGTGGGCACAGAGCACCCACTGGAGGACACTGAGCCACAGAGGTGAGGCTGGAGCCGGGGGCCCAAACTCAGCGGTGGGGAGGGGCTGTAGGGAGAGGTGGGGCCTGCGGGAAACCGGAGGGCCCGTGTTCCACCTAATGCTGCCCTGCGGAGGTGTGGACCCAAGCACCCAGGCTTCCCATTCTTCCAGGGGGGTTAGAAATCTGCATCTGTGTGTGAAATCTCTGACTCAAGTGTTGGCAACGAAATCCAACAAAAAATGTTGCGGAAATAACAGCACACATAAAACGTAGTAATCGGCTGGATGGAGTCCACAGGCTGGGAGTGTGGGATTTCTGCAGTTGGAGCCAGCGGCTCCAGGGCTCCCATGAGAATGGGAGAAGCTGGCTTCTCCTCACCGGGCCCTTAGTTTGTGCACGGCCCCGCGGGAAGCACCTGCCGTGGGTCATTCTTCTGTACTCCGTGAGGAAGGCACTGCTCCCCCACACTGGGTGGAGGACACAGGCCCAGGACCCCTGACAGTCACTTCGCAGGCATGATCCCAGACAGCTCCCCCTTCACACCTGAAAAGTGCCCCCTTGAAAGCTTCTGAAACTAGTGACCTTCAGCCCCCCAGTCTCCTTGTGGGATGCCCCTATATTCTGCTCCTGCTCCCTCCTGAGGCCAACACATGCAGCCACAGTTCTGGGCACAAGGGCCATCATAAGCCTTGACTCTGCTGGCCGAGCGGCTGGTCCCGTGAGAACTTGCCAGGAGCCTGAGCAGCACTGCATCACCAATGCGGGGGGGCGACACCGCTGCGGGCAGAGGGGAAGGGAGGGGCTGCCAGCGGCCGGGCAGGGATCTCCCCAGGTGGGTGGCGGATTCAGACGAGAATCCCCAGGGAAACAGGTGCACTGGGAGCTTCAATTAGCCTCCTCCATTGTCCCCACGGTCCTTGTCCCAGGCCAGCAAAGTGGCCACCACAGAGCCATGTACACAGTCCCCACTGCTCCACAGCCACCAAACCAGCAACCACAGAGCCCGCCGCCGCCGCCACCACCGACCATCCCCCGCTGGCCACTGCTGTTCCCTGCAGGGCTGCAGGTCCCCGCCACCCCTGACGGCCGGGAGCACCACCCCCAGCATCGCCACCGCTGGTGCCCACATGGCCTGCTCGCCGGCCTCACGCTTGCCTCCCCTCACCCTCTCCTCTGCAGCCACAGAACAGCAGCCCTGTGAGGCGACACCGCCCCCCAGCCCCTACCACCTCGGTCACCACTAGCACCAGACAACCACGGACCTTTGCCCCATTATAAGCAAAATGCCGTCTCTGCCACCGCCGTCCCACGGTCTCCGTGACCGCATCCTCATGACCATCACCTTCATGAGCATTTTCAAAATCAAGCTGCACGTGGAGAATTTGTCGAGGCGACTTTGACCGGCTGCTGTGACCACCCCCACCTTCCGGGTGGTTGACCCCCTCCACTGATCGCCGGGGCGGGCCGTTCCCCAGCAGGCCTCTGCCCCACTGCAGGCTCCAGCTGAGTCCAGCTCCCGCGCCTGCTCGCGGCCCTCCGCTGGTCCTCTGCGCTCCTCCGGCCAGCAGGCGAGCAGAGAGCGAGGGGCAAGCACGACGTTGGTGGCCCGGCCTCGCCGTGGTAGCGATGGCTCTTGCAAGCAGCCGTTGTCTGGGACCAGGAGCCGGCCCCGCCCTAACCGCGGGGAGCCCTGGCACCCGCCACAGCAGCAGGGGGGCATCTGGCCGCCATCGGCCCCGCGAGGTCTAGGCGAAGCTGACGGCGCTTGATCAGAAGGTGGAGCCGCTGTCAAGAGGGCATTTGTAAAGGGTGGGCACTCTCGGGGGGTACACGCTGAGTCTTGGCCCTGAGCCGCAGCCACACCCAGCCGCTAACACAGTGCCCGTCTCCCGTGTTTTGCATATACACTCAGCCACACCTCCTGTGAGCGCATGTGTGCGCACAGTCTCCCAGCCGGGACCCTCACCCTCTCCAGCCCCTGCGGATACACGCCAAACCAGATGAGGGCTAATTCCTTGTCAAGCGAAGAATGCACTCCATCTCTTGCAAAGGGCCTGAGCCCGTCCCGTGTGTGGCCCGAGATGGCAGAGAGCAGAACGTGGAAGACTCTGTCCTCACCCAGCTCTGCCCCAGCGAGGGAACAGTGAGTCCGTGGCCTGGAGAATCTTCGAAGAACAGCGTCTGACTCGACAGACACCGCCGGCCTCTGATTGGCAGCTTTCTAAACAGCTTTGGGGATGGAATCCTCATTTTCATTCTCTACAGGTAATAAGCAGGGACAACTTACAGCAGGCTTTGTGAAATGTCTCAAAATCTTGGGAAAGTCTCATTTTTTAAGCTAGATCTCTAGTAAAGTGGGTTAAATTCAGAGAGGAAAGCTAAACTGTATTACCTTCTTAATTTAAAAAATTAAAATACCTCAGGGTTGTCAGGGCAACAACATAGAAGTATCCAGATGGAGTCCCTGATGGCCCCAGTGACCCTGTTTTTGTTCAGACTCTTACAGGGATGTAAATAAAATCCTGTTCCTTTCTTTTAGGTCTGCGTATCCCTACTAAGCAGGAAACAAGTGAGGTTTACAAAGACATCATGAAACGGTAAGTGAGGCTCTGAGGTTCAGCCAACCTGCTGGATTCTTTATCGAATGCTTCAGGGGGCCGATCGGTGAGTAAAAGCAAAAGCAAGAATACATGCATTTGATGCTTTCAGTTCTGAAAAGAACTCCCTGCACCTGCATCACAACCTGAGTAACTAGTCCTTACTTTGAGTCCAGAAAGTGTGAATTACCTTATAGAGTTTTTTAACCAAGTCTTTGTATATTTATGTAGTATCCTTCAACAAACGTGGATCATTTTATTCTGTAACTGAAGCCACCCATTCATTTTGTCTTTAAAAAGTCTGGAGTGGAGACTCGAGGGAGGGGGGGAATGGGGAGTTGTCTGACAAGTATCAAGTTTTAGTTTTGCAAGAACTAAGATGAAAAAGTTCTGGAGGTGGATGGTGGTGATGATTGCACAACCACTCAACACTACTCAACTGTACACTTAAAAACGCTTAAGATGGTAAATTTTATGTTATGTATATTTTATCACAATTTTTTTAAAGGTCTAGAGTGATGGTTTTCAAACTTTTTTAGTGGTAAGACCTTTTTTCCCACAAACCCTTAGACAGTACTTGGTATATGAAATAAAGTGGCTCAATCTGGTTGGACAGGAGTCTAACTGCCGCCCTTCCCTCCTTCTCCATCTCTGCCCTTTGTGGGCGATTGAAAAGCTTCAAGACTCTTAAAAAGCCCATTTATGAAATACAGATCTAGAGCTTTAGTGGGGTATTAAAATTCAGTTTAAAAAAACAAGTATGACGAAGTGTCACTGAGAATATAAGGTCTGAAAAATGGAAAGAGGTACCCACTTGAGAACAGCAAGATTCAGTCTTCCCAGTCTTCCCTTTATTCTCTAAATTCAATTTCATCCCAGTCAAAATTTTGGCTATAGAACCTGACATCTAAGGGATGAGACCGACACCACCTTAAACTCCTTATCAATCCTCATGAGAGATTTAAGCAGAAAGCCAGATAAAGCCAGGACAACAGCTTGGAGAGGCGTTGGTGATGCGTACAGAACCTTCCCCAGACTCTGCTTACCCTGGGCATACTGCCCGAGTGGGAAAGTCTCCTCTCCCAGCCCCAAGCCCCACTGGAATTACTAGGGGATTGTAAAAAACGGATAAACCCACAAGGACCAGGTTAGTGGAGGAGACAACAGCAGGAAAGTGATGCCCACAAGCTTCTATAAGACGGAGAGTTGGGCAAAGGATCCACAGCTGTCTGAGCAGCTGAGAGAAGCCACCCCCCCCCCGCCAGCCTGCAGAGGGAGCCCAAGGAGGGGCAGCCCCATCGCCCCACAGAACCCCCAGGAGGCTCCACGCTCCCTTTATGCAATTGGGATATGACTTTTATTCAGAAATGAAACAAAAGAATTTTTTAAGGTCTGCAAGATGATAACACTTTATATGATTTTCAATCATGATAACAAAATTCAAATATAACAAACTGCACAAATGAGCCCAGCAACACTAATGACACAATGCTCCTTCAAGCAGCAAGGGCGTACTAAAGCTGTCATATAGATCCTAAACATATTTCTATTATGCTTAGGTTACAAGCTCTTGCACAAAAGCAATCGGAATAGTTCACATCCAGGAAAAACACACAGAACCTTTAAAATAGAATGTATCCTTTTATTAAGCAACTTTGTAGAAAAACAGGATATTATAAAAAGTAAGACTTTTTCATAGCACCAACCACTTTATATTTTAAAAAGTGAACACGCAAATAGGAATTTGCTTTCATTGCTAGGTTGCGCAGATTTTAACAAGATCAGATCATGGGGGAGGCTAGGGACTGAGAACGAAGCACTGGCTGAAAATCGGGCTCAGAGCACTTGGAACCCACAGGTGCCCTCCCCAACTTCCATCTTGACATGACCACCACTTTGCCCCAACCCTGCAGGAGAGAGGAGATGTGTTTTCAGAGACACCAAGAAGAGAGACTCCAGGCCTGGGACAGCAGGCAGGGCAGTGAGGTTCTGCCATCACCACCCGCCCCCAGAAGGAGACAGAAGATCCTTACTGCACAGACAGAAAGGCCTGGGAGAAAAGACCTTCAGGCACAGACATCTGAGGACCCTTCCCTAGTGGAAAGGCCAGATTGACCCCGATTGCCTTATAGGAAGAAGCCCACCCATCATAGGACCCACGCATCCAGCCAGGCTCCCCAGAAGCTTTCAATACAGGGGACAGTCAGGGGTGACCAGGCTGAGGAAAGCCCCCAGCATGTTCAAAACAAACAACAGGAAAAAGGAACACTGAGCAAAGAACAGGAGAAAACTTAAAAACTTGTTTTGGAAACAGCAAAACACCCAGTGGCTCCTTGGAGTAATGAATCACTCTAGGTCTGGGGCAGAAAATGCACAATATATGCCAGAAAGCAAAGAAGCACTCAAGACCAATGGGTCATGGCAAAGAACTCAGGAGCCTGCTTGAAAGGAGTCTCAGTGTCCAGAGATGGAATAACTGGAGCATTAAAAAGAATGATGGCTTCAGTGGATTAACCCACTGACTATGTTCCTTTGTAGAAGCACACACACACATATTCAGTATGTTTTTATCTTTTTTTAAGATTTTATTTGTTTAGGGGTGCGTGGGTGGCTCAGTCGTTAGGTGTCTGCCTTCGGCCCAGGTCATGGTCCCAGGGTCCTGGGATGGAGCCCCGCATCGGGCTCCCTGCTCCATGGGGAAGCCTGCTTCTCCCTCTCCCACTCCCCCTGCTTGTGTTCCCTCTCTTCACTGTGTCTCTCTCTGTCAAATAAATAAATAAAATGATTTTATTTATTTACTTGACAGAGAGATAGAGAGAGAGCACAAGTAGGCAGAGAGGCAGGCAGAGGGAAGGGAGAAGCAGGCTCCCCACTGAGCAGGGAGCCCAACGTGGGTCTCAAGCTCAGGACCCTGAGATCATGACCCGAGCTGAAGGCGGCTGCTTAACCGACTGAGGCACCCAGGTGCCCCATATATTCGATACGTTTTAATCCATCGAAGCCATTATACTTTTGTTGGCTCAAATAATCCCAGCTAGTGTATACGGAAGGGATGACTTTAACATGAAGGGTGAGCAGGAGTTAGATGGCGCCATTTTTGCAACCCCCTGATGAAATGGCTGGTTCAGGCAGTGATGGTTAACAGATGGTAAAAGCATTAGGTGAAAGGCTGATGAAGAACCTTACAAGAAGGCCCGAGGTGGGCACCACCTGACCCCCTCAGATCAATCCCAACACATTAAAAGTGGGACGCCCTGCCACTATGTGCTTCCTGGCATGAGCAAAAAGTACAAATCACACCATCCCTATTCTTGCCAAGAATCCAATCGAACCACCAGTTTCCAGGAAGTACAGGGGAGAGAAAAACATGCTAAAGAACACCATCGGGGCATAATCAGCCAAACCCAAAACCTGAGAGGGGAAGCTACAGGCAAATGACCCAGTTTCATCAACAAGTAAGTGGCATGAAAAAAAATAAAAGAAGGGAATACTATTTTAGATTAAAAGAGACTTAAAAAGAGATACACACCCAAATCTGATAACCATCAACAACAACCAAAAACAAAAATAGAAGACTTTTTTTTTGAGCAATTGGTGAACTTTCATATGGACAGATCCAGGATGACTTGGAGGAATTATGATTACTTTTATTAGGTGGGGTAATGGCATTATTCTGCTTGCCTGCTTGCTTTTAGATTCATAGTGACCAATTTGGATGAAATGCCTCCTGTCTGTGATTTGCATTAAAATACTCCAGTTGAAAAGGGGGGCGGGTAGATGCGGCCAATGTGGCAAGACTATGAGGGTTGTTGAAGGCGGGCAGTGGGTACACAGGGCTGGGCCGCACTCTCTGCCTTTGTGGGTATTTGGAAAGTCTCAGAATTAAAGCAAATATCATGTATCACATATGTGATTTTTAAGTAAAAAAACAAACAAAAAACCCCCCACCAAATAAGTAAGAAAATCCATGACCGATTATCAATCCACCATGCCAAAGTTCTCCCTGAAACTACTGAACGAGGTTATGAGTGATAAAAAGTATGAGTAAAATAATTTCCCAAAACCCTTATCAGATTTATTACTTATTTCCCACATGAGCACGTATCTGTATGTATGTGTGGATGTCAATAGCTTGATAGAGATCTATAGTTACACATGCTTATGTAATACATATCAACAGGATATATATAAAATATGCTATATATTACTCAAAAAGCAGCATAGTTCCATTTTTAAAGATTTGTAAAAGAGAGAAAAGAAGGAGGAAGTTCTTCATAGCTCCGTTTTAACACAATCACCCTTAACATTTTCATGTCCAGACCCTATTGATATTACATTAATTGCTAACACTTCTTGACTTGGGTATTCTGAATCCTTCGATGAATATAGCATCACATTTTTTAATGTTATGTTGTTTTCATGACTCTTCTGAAGTGTACTGTGTCTTTCTATGACAAATGTAGTAGATGTTGATCATAGAAGACCGAAAGTGTAGAAAGGCAAAAGGAAGACCCAGCCCTTCACGGAGAGATTGTCCTTCACCTACAATGCTCAGACATACTGTCTAAAGTACTCTGCAGCAAGGGACGGCTGCCTCCCAGTTTCCCTTTGTATAGAAATAAGGCTGTCATGGATATTCCTGTGCATAGAGGTTTTATTATTCTTAAGATTCATTCCTTGAGATAGATCGCCATATGGTTTCTGTTATTTTCAGAAATGTCCACTTAGAACCGGGTCCCTTTTGTCGAATGTATACCTGAGTACATTGCAGACTGTCAGGCCAGCCACATCCCATCCCACTAAATCCAAAGGTCCCTCCCAGGATTTCAGGGGGTTAAGGAACAACCCTAGAGCCCAACATCCAGGGCTCAAATCTTCTCTCTGCTGTTCACTGGATGTGCATTTGAGGCAAGTCCTTAAATTCTCTTGTGAATTCACATAGAAACCTTTCAATAAATTTCAGACTCTGCCAACTTAAGAGGCTGTAAACAGCATTCCAATAGAAGTTTCAAGATTCCAGACTCGGAAAGTGGGCAGCCTTCCCCTGTCTACTCACGCCCCCACACAATGTGCCACATTTGGGTGCAGATGTGAATATAGATTTTTTTCTGACTGAAGGGTCTACAGCTTACAGTGGTCAGAGATCCAGAAAAGATCAAGAATCCCTGTCACACACGATAAGCTCAAATGTTGCCAGATGGGGTTGGAGTTTGCTGGACGAATGTTGGGTGTTAGGTGGGCCCAGGTGACCCCACGGGTTCTGACTCTGTCAGAGTCAGAGCTTTGCCAAGGAGCCAGCCACCAGCCCTTTGCCCTTGATGTCCACAGATCGAGTCGGTGCCTCTGTAGAGGATGGAAAACACACTTCAGGGGTAAACGGGCAAGAACCTTCAGGCCTTCTTCTTTAGGAAGAACCTAAAAACTTCTGAAACATGAAGCCCTGCCCAGGGGCCACCTGGGTGGGGTGGGCAGGCTGTGTAGACCAGTGCTCCTCAAACTGTAACATGCACCCAGATCCCTTGGGGATCTTACTCCAATCTTGAATCAGGAGCTCTGGGGTGGACACTGAGATCCTGCATTTCTAACCAGCTCCTGGATGACGCGGGGCTGTGAGCAGAAGGCTGGAGCATGCCGGCCCCACTCACCAGCTTCCAGGAGCTAACTCACCCGTCCCATGACTGCCCTCTCTCCTGGCCTCCTTTGCCGGGTCCATGTCTCCTGATGTCCCCTCAGCCCTGCACACAGACCCTCCAGCTCCCTCGTAGGTGCTGCTGACACATGCTGATGAGTAAGCGGCTTTGAACTGGGAACCTCTACGTCTGCAGCTTGTTCCCTGGGAACCATACTGAGGTGACGGTCGCCTCGGGATGCCAGGTGCAGAGTCACCGCTGGGGACAGAGGCCCGAAGCACACAGCCCGGGTGTGGGAGGGAGGGGACCCGTCCCGGGCTCCCTCTCAGAGCTGAGAGCTGAGGTGGGCGGGCGGTGCTGTCCTCACCACAGCCCCGAGTGGCCTGGGTCAGAGCACACACGGATGCCCAGGAAGCACCGGTCGGGGCCAAGCCTGCCCTCTGGGCGGGGTCTGTTCTTTCCAGAAGAACAGGAGCCGACAGCAGAGACGGGACATAGCAGTCTCTGGGGCTGTGTGTATGTGTGGGGGGGGGGGCTCCACACACTCTGGAGGGCTCCTGGGAGCGTCTGGGAGTCAGCGTCAGGACCAGGTGGTTGTCCTTTGGGGCCGGGCCCCATCTCGGACTGTGTGTCAACAGGGGGCCCTGCTTGGAGAAGCCCAGGACACAGCGGGGAGCTGGGCTCTTCGGGTGGGTCTGGGGGTCTGCCTGTCAGGGGAGCGGCGGGTCAGGGAACGCAGAGCCCCGTGTGGCTGGGGGTGGCGAGTGTCAGGGGAGAGCGTGGGGCCAGGCCGCGGATGGCGCTGACGGGCCCCTCGAGGGAGCCTGAGGGCAGCAGGGAGCCGGGCAGAGCCAAGCAAGGGGGTGACCCGGTCAGCGTGTGACCTGCTTTAGGAAGCCGGTCAGCCGGTGTGGAGCTGGATGTGGAGGCAGGAGCCAGGGCAGCTGGAGGCTGGCTGGCGTGGGGAGTGGGGAGTGGCCGCGTGGGAAAGGTGACAAGAGGGTGAGGCGAGGAGATGTGACTGGGGTGGGGCCACCTTGCATCCTGGCTTCCCTGAAGGAAGGGCTGGCGTGGTCCCTCCTCAGCTGAGCCCCTGGGTGAATGTGTGCAGGGAGCAGGGGGGAGGCGGGGTTGCAGCTTTGGGAGCCCCTAGGGGAGGGGCAGGGCCAGGCTCAGCTCTGGGACCTAGGCCCCTGGCCTCAGTTTCCCGGTTTTAAAGCCCAGGACTTTGTCCCAGGGTCAGGCAGCGCCACGGTGTGGGCAGAGGCAAGAGAGGACCCTCATCACAGCCTCTGTGGGGGCGTGTGGTGGCCCGGCTCAGACCACCCACTTAGGGGTTTTTCATCCAAGGGGCACATGCAGGCTTGGGGGCTGCCCTGCATTCAAGGACAGCAGGAAATTCAAACCACAGGCATTTCTTCTCCCTGGAAAAGGTGATGGGAAGTGCCTGGAGCGTGGCCCCTCTGGAAGGCCCAGGCTCCAGATCTTCATCATTCAGTCAGCGGAATTACCGGGATTCTAACCTCTGGGACAGTGTTAGAATCCCTGCAGTGTACAAAGCCTCTCCCAGCTGGGATCTTGCAGTGACTTGCCGGGTCGCAGGCAGGACAGGAATTAGCGTCCCCCATCTGAGGAAGCCGAGGCTGGTGGAAAACCAAGGCCCAAGGCCCAAGGCCCAAGGTCACGCAACTAGTCACAGCAGACCTGGGATTTGGATGGAGGTTGGTCTGACTTCCACGATGTCAGTTCTTGCCAGAGCAGGGCATGGCAGACAGAGTACAGCATGACCCGGCCGTGGTGAGCAGCCGTGCCGTGCAATCCTCATCTGGCCCCCATGTCAGCATAGGCCCCCTTCTGAGAATGACCAGGAACAGACCCCAGAGTACCTAGGTGGGCTACGGATTCGTGGACTTCCTGGTGCCAGGGGCCCCAATCAGGCACTCTGCCTACTCTGTGCCTAAAACCATTCTCTGCCCTGGGAATACAGCAGGACCAGTCTGGCCCTCGTGAGGGCTCTACTGACTTGGAATAAAAGCTCTAACTTGTTATGGCTTCAAGGCTTGGGCAAGGAACTCCCAACCCCTGAGCCTATTGGCTCATCCGCAAAGAACAAGGATAGTAACACCTTCCCACAGGGTTGTAGATGAGAGATCCCAGGCCTGGTGCCCCTGGCCATCAGTGATTCATACTCAACCTGCCTCAACTCAAACCCAACTGAAGGAACCTAAGGCCCAGAGAAGTGCAGTAACTTGCCCAAGGTCACACGGGTATATCCCTGGCAGAGTGAGGACCCAATCCAAGCTCCTTCCTGCCCCTTAGGCACTGACTGCTTCTCAGATCCCACACTGGTCTGGGGCAGAGAAGTCTTAACAGGGCTCCCGGCAACAGAAGGGCAGTGGGCAGTGTGTAGGCCCGCCCACCCACTCTGGGCCTGGAGACTAGTCAGGGAGGCCAGCTGGGCAGGTGGAACCGTCTGTGGAGACATGGCCACCTGGGCCAGCTCTGGGCTCAAAGGTGAGATAACCAGTCTTGGGCACCATTGGCTCTTTGCAGAAATCTGTTTAATGATTTAGGAATGTGTACACTCTGGCTCTGCTGTTTCCATAAAGGCAACTTTTCCATGTTTCAAAAAATAGATTTGCTATAAAGATTTATGCATCATAAATAGGTAATGTGAAAAATCCCCAAATGCAAATGGCATCACTGGGCTTGGCTGAGGCCTTCCCCACAGCCCAACGGCCCACGCCAGCAGGGTGCAGAGGGTCCCTGAGGCCCCATCCCTGGCAGCCCTCCTAGGAAAGAGTAACTGAATTCAATATGAATTAGGAGCTTCCTCTAGCTCCATGCCTGTTGCGGCCTGATGTCTTTGATCCCCGCTTCCAGGACAGGAACCCACCTCTTTGGCTTGGGAATCACGATCCATGTCCCTTGCCTGCCCCGCTGCTAAAACACCAGCCTTCTGGTTCTTCAGCCCGTGTCACACCGGCCCCACCCAGGCCACAGATGGTGCTCTTGCCGGGCCTGCTGGCTGCCAGGATACTTCCTGGCCCTGTCCCCTGCCTCCTCTCCCACACCCTGGCCCCTGACCCCACCTGTTCCTGCTCTTGGGTAATTTATAAACAGAGGAAGAGATTAAGCTCTCTGGCCCCAGAAGCCCTGGGCCTGCTGAGGGAGGAAACAAGAGGTGGGTCGTGTTCTGTCTCAGCACTTCCCCATTTTCTCTTACCCAAGTCTGGGTCCCCATGTGACAGAAGACGGAGGCCCAGCAGATAGTGAGGCCCCCACCCAACCCGGCCCTACAGACAGGTCGCCCAGCCGGCATGCGGTCAACCCCACACCAGCGTCAGGCCCTGAGCACTAGCATTTGTATTTGGGGCCGAAGCTGGGAAATGGGTCTGTTTGAGCCTTGTGGGAAATGGCTCCCACTGAGGAAGAGGGGGACAAAGAACTCATTCTTGCCAGGGGGTACTAGGAGCAAGGGGTTAGCTTGGGGTGGGGCCAGTTCTCAGGGGTGTCCAGGTGGGTCATTTGTGGGACTCTAAACGACAGGAATAAAGGCTGGGTGAGTGCGGAGGAGGGTGGGAAGGGAGCGGCCTGGACAGAGGGTGCTCCTGGGGCACAAGGTGCTGGGGAAAAGCCAGGGCAGAGCTGTGGAGGCCTTGGACATCCAGACTGAGCATAGACCATATCCCGAAGGCCCCAGGCACCCTGGAAGGTGAGGGGACAGCATCAGTGTGACCTTTTGCCACTGCCACGCTGACTGCAGCAGGAGGGTGCCTCGGGCTGCACCGGCTAGAAGCCCAGGGGCCAAGGAGGTCCAGGAGGCGTCCAGGGGAGGCCAGGGCCTGTCCAGAGCAGAGGGGTGGGGGGCAGCGTGGAGGTGGGATCCCAGCACTGCGGTAGGGTGGAGAGAGTGAGGAGCCTAAGATAACCCCTGGATTTCTAAACCCCTGGTGGCCGTGGTGCCTGGAGGATGGGGTGGCAGGAGACCACTCAGCCCAGTGTTCTGGACACCTTGGAACTAAGAAAGACAGGAAAGGGAAGTGTTTTCATGGTTGCTGGGTGAGCCAAAGGCTGCCAGTGGGCAGAAACCTCCCTGGTCCTGGCTGGGCTGGCTGCTCCCTTCTCTTCTCTGCCAAGCCTCTGCAAGGTTTCAGGCCTCCAACCCTGGGGTCTGGAGGAGGAGGGGGATGGTTTGGAGTCCAGACCCCTGTTACCAGCCAGCTGCCTGTTGCTGGGCCTGCCCCAGATCCTCATGGCAGTCCAGGGCGTCCCTGTGAAGGAGATGGAATGGAATGGCCTCCCGCGTTCCCTAGCCATCCCAGCCCTAAGGCAGAGAGGGACAACAGGTAACAATGGGTAGGGTCTGTACCTGGGCTCAGTGGGAACTGAGGCTGCAAGTCATTCATGGGGGGCAGGGGGGAGGTTAGGCCCAGGCCTGTGCTCCAAGACCCCCTGCATCCCCGCCACCGCCCCCCAAAGCAGCAGGTCTCTGCAAGGTCAGGCTTCATGAGATTTCTCTTCCAGCTTGGGCCCAGGTTGAATGCCCAGCTCTGCCCAAACATCAGCCCCTAGCAGAGGTCATGGGGCTGGAGGACCTTTGCCCTTGGCTCGAATGTGCCTCAGTCATAGGCACGTTCTACTTGCAGGTAGAGCCCAGGCACTGAAGTGGAGGGGCCTGGCAGACACCAGTTCTCCCTGCCAGCAGGTGGGCCCCAGGCTCCACTCACCCCATCCCACCGGCAAGGCCAGTGAGGAAGGAAGCCAAGTGAAGTGGCCTTCTTGCTCCCAGGTCCCACCCCACCCGGCCCCCAGTGGGCTGGTTCCCCTCAGTGCAGGCCCCTGCTCAGTAGCTCCTGGTCCAACCAGGTCAACATCCTTCCTCTCCAGAACCAGGCTCAGCTGTCCCAGGGCTGCCTCCCTGCCCAAAAGGGAGTCCCCAGCCCCGCCTGTCTCGGTCTCAGCCAGGGAAGCCCTCTGTGCCCGACCCTGCTTCACCAGACTGCTGTGGGTCTGGCTGCTGCAGAAGGTCTGGCTTCTGGCTCTGCAGATGGGCCTGCCTGGGCGAGGGTGTGACACAGGCCAAAGGGTGGCAGGCAAGGTGCAAGGCAAGGGAAGTCAGCTGGAGGCCTGTGGCCCACCGCTAGGGCCAGGGCTGGGCCAGGGGCGCTGTCTGGGCTCCACCTCCATGGTGTGGCCTTTCCCATGGCTCTGACAGCAGTGTACTTCCTGGAGCCCCACACGGAGGGGGGCCTAAGGGGCTAGCCTGGGCTGACATGGAGGGCCTGGGTGGTACAGGAAGATCACCTGCCTCCCCCAGCTCCATCCCTGTGATCCCCTGAACTACCCCCAGAGGACGGTGTGCTTCCAAGAGCCCCGGTGATGCCAGCGCCCACCTGCCTTCTAACCAGCATGCAGCACACGCCGAGGCTGTTAAGGGCGGGTGGGCCCAGGAGGATGAAACGGTCAGAGCCAGGACTGTTGGGGCCTTGTCTTCTTCTTTCAGGAAACCGTAAGCTGGACTGGAAACAGTGGGGGAGCTGTTGCTCTGAAGGTGGCAGGAGGGGCTTCTGCACAGGTCAGACTAGGTGCCCTGAGGGTTCCTCTCAGACCTTAGCCTCAGGGACTTCAGCTTTTACTTTTCCCTTAAATGTCCACATTCCTATCTCATTCCCCGCAAACCCCCCAAATTCTGAGAGTCGGTGCTGAAGAATCAGCTGGTTTTGCAACCCGAGTGGCAACACTTTGGGCCCCAGGCCAGCAGACAGTCCCTGCTTGGCTGTGGGCCATGACCCCCTACTTGTGCCGATGAAAACAAGAAGCTACATGGAAAACCAGAAAACTTGAGAGATCTTGCTAAGGCAGCAAGCCAAGCCCCAAGCTATCTGCGAGCTTAGAGCTGGCAGTGAAGAAAGGAAGAAGGCTCCTCGCCAGGAAGGAGTTAGGGCTTCCCCGGGGCTGTGCTCAGGAACCGAGTCTGTCGGGCTGATTGCTCTCACTCTCTGGGGCTATGCACAGAGGCCCTGGAATGACCCGGAAGAACCCAAGGCACCAGCCACATCCCTGGAGGGCAGCAACCTGCCACCACAGCTGCAGCAAGACGCCAAGGTGGGAAATGGCCAGAACCAGTACCTGCGGCGCAGGGGAGGCACATCCCGGCCCCTCTCCCGCTGTGGTCCAGCTGGGCAGGCACCACGAAGGACGCGGAGGGGACAGCCACCGGCCGGCAGGATGGGCCCCCACTCTACACCCTGTAGGACACCAGGTCTCCCTCAGAAGGTACCCCGCTTCTTCCTTCCTCGAAGGTAGCTTTCCCATCAAGTACCCAGGCCACGGAATGGATAATTCCAGGACTTTATCCAGCTGCTCTAGAATCGCTGGCACCATGGATGGCCAGCTCTGGAGGGGTGGGCCCGGCAGGCCAGAGAGAGAGAGAGAGGAGGTGGGGAGGCCCCTGCCTGCCTGCCCTGCACCCCGGTCAGCAGCCACAGCCCCAGCTCTCTCCGACGTCCTTGCTATCCAGCTGGATGTGGTCGGTGCCCTTCTCACTGAGCAGGGGGCCGCCGTGCCTGACCACCAGCTCTGTGGCCACCCTCACGAAGGCCTCCTCCACGTTGCTCGAGTCCTTGGCAGATGTCTCGATGGCGCACAGGATATCGTAGTGCTCCGCCAGGCTCTGCGCCTCGGCCAGTGGGACCTCGCGGAGCTCGCCCAGGTCCGACTTGTTCCCTGCAGGGAAAGGCCGGGTGCGGCTTGGTGAGGCCCACAGGCGCCAGCAAGCCCTGGCCCACCTGGCAGGGCCAAGCTGGGGGATACCCTGCCATCCATCACGCCCTGCCCACCACCAATAAACACCATTTGGCATGGCCATCTCTCTTTCTCTTTAAGGAAAAAAAAAAAAAAAGACCTTTATAAATTTTAAAGTGCTTATTCTAACCTTTCGTCCCTGCTTTTTTTTTTTTCCTCTTTATTCTCTTTGCCAGAGGCTCGTGTATTTTATTGCTTCTTCCCAACAAGTAGGAGCAGTAGAGTTTGGCCAAGAGCACTTTAGAGCTGTGAGCAACGTCAGCTCCCTTTCACTTGCTCTGTGACCCTCGGTAAGTCACTTCACCCCTGAGTCTCGGTCCCCCATCTCTGATGCCACCTTCGGCACAGGGGGGACCGGATGGGCAGGAAAACAGCTGGCCCGCGGCGGCGTGAACAGGGAGAACTAGTGCTGTGAGGTCTGTTCTTTGCTAACATCTTGTTATGCTTATTATTTATTCTCTCCTATTTTCCTCTGGAATTCTCTTATTCACTGTGAGATCATGGTTTTCGATTATTTTGCTTTCCTGCGCAGAAGAGCACAGACTACCAGCTGACCTGAGAGCACACTTCTGGCTTCTTCTATAAGGTGTCAGACGTTTCATTATGTTCCCAAAAAATCTGGTCAACAGCTCCTTGACCCAATTTCTAGAAGAAATCTTCTAAGCTCTAAATGGTTGACTTCTGTACTGTGACTATATAGGGAGGACAGAAAAAAAGATAACCGTCTAGAAAGATCTAAACTGTCTTTGGTAGTCTTAAATGATTCAGTAACCAATTTCAATGTGGGGAGCTTATTTGGATCCTGCTTTCAACAAACTGAAAAAAAAAGTATGTGTGCTATTTAGGAGCAATGATAAATCTGAATGCTGATCAGCTACTTGATTATATTAAGAATTTTCAGATGTGAACATGGTCTTGTTGTTAGGTACTTTTTAAGTGTTTGTATCTTTTATAGATTCATGCTGGAATATTTACAGATGAAATAGTTACGGTGCTGGGATTCGCCCCAAAGCAAGACAAGGGAGGGGAAGAGATGAGGGTAGAGAAACTGGCCATAAGTTGCTCATAGCTGAAGCTGGAGGATGAATATCCAGGGTTCACTGCACTATTCTGTTTTTCGTATTTGTATAAAATGCTCTATGGCAGAATGTTTTACTTTAAATGCCCTGGATAAAAGGGAAGTGTAAGGCCAGGTAAGGTGAACTCCACTCCTGCCTGGGGAGTCCAGCTCCGCTAAGCGCTTCCCCATCCTAGGCCAGGCAGGCTGGGGAGAACCAAGCACCACCCTTTCCCCAGCCGGAGCTATACCCAGGCCCCATCTGTACAATCTCGTCTTGGAAGAATCAGCCTGACGGTTGGAATGAGGACTCCAGGGACCACACAAATGGTCCAAAGCGTCTTAAGCCCAGGTCTGGGAAGTTGATTTAGGAGGAAAAGGGAAAATGGAGGTAAGAGCAACAATGGTTCTCAAAGTGGGGTCTCTGGGCCACAGACATGGCACCTGCTGGGAACCTGTGAGAAATGCACATTCACGGGGCCCACCCAGCCCTCCTGAATCAGACGTGGTGCCTGGCATCTGTGCTTTCACAAACTTCAGAGTGGTAGGGAAGCACACAGATGGTTGAGAAGCCCTGCTCTACAGTGTGGTGTGACAGCAAGTCACCGAATGACAATCGGCAGAGCTCAAGTTTCCTATTTATATGCTCACAGGCTGTGTGGACTGGGATAAATTACTTCACTTTTCTGAGCCTGAGCTCCAGCCCCTGACAAACAAGGAGTAGCCAGGGTTATGGGAACTAAATCCAATGACACCAGTGTTACCCACTGTGGGGATACACAGTAACTACAAAGCGAATGTTAGCTCCTTTCTTCCTCCCTCTAATTCCAACTTTGAATATAATTGTGTAAGTGATTGGCAGGATCATATTTGGAAGATCACAGTTCAAGTTCTGGCTCCCTTCCTGCCTGGCCAAGTTCAGCCTCTCTCTGTGCTCCACTTGCCTTCTGTTTAAAAAGGAAAAAGAGACTAGGACAGACCGAGAGATAGATCCGTGACCCCAAGGCACCCTGCTAGACCTGCCCTGTGCCCCCAGCTCACCGATCAGCAGCTGCACGATGTTAGAGCCTGCGTACTTCCTCACATCCTCGATCCAGTGAGGCACTGACAGAAAGGAGCTCCTCTTCGTGATGTCGTAAGCGAGGATGGCCCCGTTGGCACTGCGGTAGTAGCTCTGGGTGATGGTGCGGAATCGCTCCTGGCCAGCCGTGTCCCAGATCTGCAGCTAAAGAAACAGGGGGCCTCCCGTGAACCTGGTGGTGTGACCACGCACAGGGGATAGGCAGGGCAATCCCACAGACCCACGCCCAAAGTGCTGGTTCCACTGGGCAGGCCACCAGCCTGCACCTTGGCAGGAATCATGCAAGAGGGGCTAGAAGGTGGACAGAGAGAGAAGGACTTCCGCACCCTTAGGAAACAACTCAGTGGCCCAACTTTGAGGGGGACAGGAGGATGCAGAGGGAAGGTGGGGAGCCCTCATCTCTGTTCGCTAGAGTCCCCAGGGAAAGGTGGTAAGGGGACATTCTGCACTGCAGCAGGAAGTACATTTGACCCAGGGTCCTCCTTGTGCCCTCTCTCCCCTACACACTGGGCTCACTGCTGGCAAGTGAACCAGAAGAGCTCCAGCAGCTCACAGTTCCAGGTGTGCTATGATGCTGGCTGTGTGTGCATGTCCTGTGCCTTCCCCTCTCTGGGCCTGTAAATGCACTGCTCTACCCAGCTGTGTGGAAGGTTCCTCCAGCATTAGGGTTCTCTACTCCTGCCTCAGTGATGCCTGGGAAGATGCTCACAACCTGGTGATGAGGGGGCCTGGCCTGTGGCAGTGAGGGCCCGGAGGAGGCAGTGGATAGGGTCCTCCCGTGGGGCCTTTACCACCAGCTGGCCCAGCTTGGCCAAAGGCAAGAAACTTGGGGTCTTTCCTTGCCATGTCTTCACTTAGCAAACACCCATTGGTGCCCACTGCCAAGCCCTTCTGGACACTGACCATGGAGGAGAGTTGCCCGTGTGTAGCAGGAGCTCCCCTGGTTTCTGGAGAAGCAGCAGTCTGCCATGACAGATGCCAGATAGGGCAGGGTGAGGGGCTGTACCCGGAGAAGACCTGGACCTTCACTGTGCCCGGGCTGGGTGGAGGTCACCAGCTCTGGGCCTGGGAGAGATGGGCTGTCGGGGGCCATCAGAGTGGGCAGATGCCAGGGCTCTTGGGGGCTCAGGGTTTGTCTTCTCTGCTCCACAAATCACAGGTTCTTGGGGCTCTCTGAAGATGAACATGAGCCTTCGATCTCCACCAAGCTGTGGGTCCATCCATCCTCCTTCACTGGCACAAGCACTCTGGGCACCTCTTTATCTACTTCACAAGGTGTGGGAGGCCCCCTCGTCTGTTCAGGATAGGGAAAAACCCCAGAGGCCTTAGACAGTTCCTGAGGGCAGGGCTGTGGAGGTGACCACCTCTTCCCTAAGCCCCACCGACAGCAGTCTGAGTTAACAAACTCTGGGCCACCACACGCCAAATGGAACCCTCCGGTCCTGAGACCTCCTATTTACTCCTTCATAAAAGGCTCCAAGGAAACCGGATGTCTGCTAGTTCATGCATGGGGTGAAGCGAAAGGCATGAAATCTGGCAATACACAAACCTGGAATCCAGATAACCAAGAAACTCATCTCCATACCCCAGAGGAGGGCACATAAGACAGAGGCCAAACGAACATAGAAAAAAAGGTGACTTGAATGAAACAAAAACTATGCAGAGGCAAATTTTTGTTTACCAAAAACAAACATCAGGATTTTCAGAGATAGGAAAAGATCTGTGAAACAATAATAGAATACTATTTCTTTAAAAAAAAAAAAAAGTTGAGGGAGTATTCAGGAAAAAGAAAATAGAGGGGCGCAACTCTTGATCTTAGGGTTGTGGGTTCAAGTCCCATACTGGGTGTAGAGATTACTTAAAAATAAAATCTTAAAAAAAAAAAAAAAGAGCTTTTGATAATTAAAAATATAACATCAATGAAAAATTCAACCTAAGGGTTGTAAGATAAAGTTGAAGAAATCCCTCCAAAATAAAGAAATACAAAGAGATGGAATAGAGAGGGAAAAAAAATTGTAGAGCCAGCCTAGGAGGTCCAATATGGGGATAGTAAGCATTTCAGAAGAAAAAGAACAGTAAAATCAAGGGGAGGAAATCAAAGAAAAACTTCAAGAACACTCCTTCTGTGTTGAAAGAGCCCACTAAGTAGCCACACAATGGAGGAAAACAGACCCCCCCCAAAACACACCGCATGGGAATTCCACAACAATGGGGAAGGAAAAAAGGTCCTAAAAGCTTCCAGAGAGGAAAAGAAAAAGAAAAAACAGGTTTTAACATTAAAGTTTTACAAAATCCACATGGCATTAGATAGTCAATGAAAAAAATGCCTAACATAATAGGATAGAAAATTACTTCCAACATAGAATTTTCTACCCAATTAACCATCAGTCAAGTGTGATGGTTTAATAAACATTTTCAGATACACAGGCCTCAAAAAATTTATCTTCCTGCCACCCTTTCTCAGGAAGCTACTGGCAGTTCCTCTAACTAAAGCAATCAACCAAAAATAAGATGTGGGATCCCGAAAACAGAAGTCCACTCAAAAGAGAGGCAAAGGGAACCTCAAGATGGTGGTTGAGGGAGATCCCAAGGCAACAGCTGAGCAGCAAGCCTGGACATCAACCCATCTGCAGCAGGCCACGGGGCTCCAGGAGCAGCTTCCAGCTCTGGCAGAGTAATTACTGGCAGATGAGCCCTCCCTCCACAAACAACCATTAGACTGAGAAAAATATGGGAGGTTGCTGTTTTCAAGATGTAAACAACAAGCAGCACGAGAAATAATCCTGAAAGATGCAAAACTCGTAAGATGTGCCTCCCGATCACCACAACTCTCTCTACCCGGGGATGGCTTCCTGACTGCCAGACAATGGGCTATAATCCAAGCAAAGCACAGTAGTCCCACATGGCCAGGAGGCAAATATCAGAGTCTGGAGCAGCTGATGGGACTGGAATGAGGAGCGATGCAGGGGTGGGAAAGCTTAACGTCTGGGTGTGCTGTGGGAAGTCTTTGGAGACTCCTTCCCTGGGGGCTCCATGCATAGGGTGGGACTACCAGAATTTTACCAGAGAGTGACTCCTACAGGGTTGAGAAAAGACCAGAGACAGAGGCTGAGCAGTGCTAGGGGGATGCTAAAGTTCTGACCCAGTCACAGTGAAGAGGCTTCCCTAGCACCTTGTTAGAAACCCAGATTCTTTCCTGAGACATCAGAAAGGCTGTCACCTACGAGTGAAGACCATGACTAAACAAAGGCCTCCAAAAACCTGCCCTAACAAAGCCTAAAACCAAGCCCCAAAACGAGTCTCAGGTTTGGAGGCTGACTTCTGTCAAGTCAGGGAGGCTAGAGAAACATCCTTGGACTTCCACCTATCTGCCCTAACAAAACATAAAAGCAAGCCTACACAGGTTCAAGGTGATCGGCCAGCAAACTGAATTGACTATTAGGACATGAATCAATGGGGGTGCCTGGGTGGCTCAATCCATTAAGCATCTGCCTTTGGCTCAGGTCATGATCTCCAGGTCCTGGGATGGAGCCCCGCATCGGGCTTCCTGCTCAGTAGGGAGTCTGCTTCTTTCTCTCTCACCCTCTGCCTCTCCCCACTGTTTGTTCTCTCTCTCTCTCTCTCAAATAAATAAATAAAATCTAAAAAAAAAAAAAAAGGACATGAATGAATGCTCTTCAAAAGAAGAGAACAGAATCCAGAGTCTCAATAAGGCATCAACCAGGGGTGCCTGGGTGGCTCAGTCGTTGGGCGCCTGCCTTCGGCTCAGGTCGTGATCCCCGCGTCCTGGGATCGAGCCCTGCATCAGGCTCTCTGACCCGCACGAGGCCTGCTTCTCCCTCTCCCACTCCCCCCACTTGTGTTCCTGCTCTCACTATCTCTCTCTCTGTGTCAAATAAATAAATAAAATCTTAAAAAAAAAAAAAAGGCATCAACCACTATTTCCAGTATACAATCAAAAATTCCTAAACATGCAGAAAACCAAAAAAACAAAACACCCTAAGAAAATTTGATCCACAAAGAAAAAAAGCCAATAGAAAATGATACCAAAATGATCCAAATATTGGATTTTAGTAGGCAAAAATATTAAAGCAGTTATTTTAAGCATGACCAGAGAATTAAAGGAAAATATGATCACAAGGAGTAGGCAAATAAGGAATTTCAGCACAGAAATGGAAATTATTTTTTTAAAACATACAAAAAAGACTCAAAATTCTAGAGCTTAAAAGTACAATAAGTGAAGTTCTATGAGCTGAGCTTGCAAAACGGAGATGGCACAAACACACAAAAATCTGAACCTGAAGAAAAATCAGTAGAAAGTATTCCCTCTGAAGAACAAAGAGAAAAAAAATATTGAAGAAAAAGCAAGAGAGGTACAGGGACATGCAGGACAACATCATACAGTTCCATATTGACATAATTGCAGTCCCAGAAGGAGAAAATGGTGAGAATGTGGCAGAACTAATGACTGAAAATTGCAAATTTAATGAAAATATCAATTTAATGATCCAAATAACTCAGCAAAACCCAAGCAGAAGAAATACAAAATATACCATGGGAGACTATAGCCAAACTGATGAAAACAACGGTAAAAGAGAGAAATTTTAAAGGAGTCAGAGAAAAAGACATATACAGGGTAACAGTAACAAATGACAAGTGACTTCTCACCAGAAATAATGGATGTCAAAAGACAATGCTGAAAAGAAAAGGAAAAAAAAAAAGTACTGAAAGAAAAAACCTTTCAACACCAAAGTCTCTAACCAGGAAAAAATCTCTCAAAAATGAGAGTGAAATAAAGATAATTTCAGACAAATGAAAGTAGAATCTTCCTGGAAGACCTGCACAACAAGAAATGCTAAAAGATGTTCTCCAGGCTGAAGAGGAATGATACTAAATGGAAACGCTGATGTACACAAGGAATGAGAAGCACCAGAAATGGTAAATAGGTAGGTATATCTAAAATATGATTTGTTTCTTGTAATTGTCATATAAGGCAACTGACTGGAAAACTATAAATAACGACTGTAAGGTGGGATTTATAATGTATTAGAAATAAAAAGTATGACAATAATAGCACACCAAAAAAAGACGGCAGTTAAATGAAATTATACTGTTGTAAGGTGACTACACTTGTGAGGTGTCAG